CTGGAAATGATTGAGGAAATAAATATAAATCTGGAAACATTCTCTCATCATTTTTATAGTTGCTCTTCCTTAACTTTTACTTTGCAATCCCCAGATGTATTTCTCATCAGTTTTAACTTTTGTGAACTCACTGAATCTGGGTACGGTTAGTTACATCATCGGTTATAGCACCAAGACGGGAAGTGCAATCAGTGAGTGCCCTTGCAGATGGGAGCCTCAGAGACAGCAGTCCTGTTGAACTGCTAAGGAGTGAGCCAAGGGCTTTGTCTTATTGCCTGACAGAACTGGGATTCCTTACTTCTGGAATATATAAGCAAGTAATTCTGAATCTATCATAATTGAAAAGGAACAGTGAAGATAAGTTTGAAGCCTAAACTTTAGAAGTTTGTGTTATGTCAATGATTATCAACCATTTTTTCATTACCACCCATTAAAGAGCCCTTTAAATGTTTTTTTCTCCCTAGCCCTTTTCTGTCTTCACTCTCCATGGAAATTTAAATGCTACAGATACACTGGGTATTTATTTCTGTACTTTGTTTCTATCTGTGCTGATGTAAAAGAATAAGCCACTGTTTCACCTCTGGGATCAATATTACCCTTGATAAACGTCCACAAGATAGATGCTATTGTGAGAAGGTAGAATTAGAGTTGTATTTAAAGGTATTGTCTGAGGATGGCTCAGTGGGTAAAGGTGCTTGCCGCCAAGTCTACTGACTCCAGTTCCATCCTTAGGACCCATATGGTAAAAGCAGAGAGCTGACTCCTGCAAGTTGTCCTCTGATCTCTACACACACACTTTGATGTACCCAGAATAGATAAAAGAAAATTTAAAAAGGTATCATAAAGTTTCCATTTATTTATTTATTGTTTCCCAAGACAGGCTTTCTCTGTGTAGCTCTGACTGTCCTGAAACTCACTTTGTAGACCATCAAACAATGGTCACATCTCTGTATTTTGGTTCAAAAACTACCTCCAGAAAACCAACCTGTGAGCACTGTTAAACATTTAACTGTGTTTGTATTTCCTGGGTATTGTAAAGCTTTTGTTCATGATTTGAAATCAGTGCCCTCTTCTGTCAGTTTTGATTTGGGATAGATTCTTCTGATGTTCCCAAAACGGAACCAGAGTCCTGATTTGACACCCCATATTCCCTTGGGTAAAAGTCATATTTTCTTCTCATTGACAGATACCTGCTGGGCCTGCAATAGAAAGGTGTAAGATTTACATGATCAGTAGATTGCTTTGGCTGATGACAACTTCAACAAGTCTTAATTTTTATTGCTTATGGACCTCCATGTCTATGAAGATGAGTTTTATCTTGTTCAGTTACAGCTGGGTTCCGGTGGCCCACTTGTAACCATGGTGGGAAAAGTAGGGAGTGGTTTCAGGTAGGGATCTCTTACACTTGCATGATTTGTTTACCGGATTCACTTCCTTAAAGGCACCACAAAGTTTTAGCGTGCACTATTGATTTCTTTTCTCATTCCTTATTTTAGAAATATGCTTATTTCTAATGGTTTTTTAGGACTGTTCACATAGCATGTTCAGGAAATGCTGTTAAAAGAATGGCTGTTTGTCTTCATGCTGTTTGATTTTTATTATGCAACTTAGAATGTTTATCATTTCCATGTCCTGCTTTTTCCTGCTCTGGCCCTCTCCTATCTACACACATGCATAGGAGTAGTTGTTAATATATAATAATGGTGGAGAAAGTCTTGGATATAAACTTCCACACGCTGATGTTCTATAAGTTAAGATCCAGTTTTCTTCACAAGACAGAGTGCAGCAGCCTTTCTGACATTTTTGGCTCTTTATTTTTGGTTTTAGGATTGAGAGAGGTAGTTATAAAATGAGTTATGTAGGTCTGAAGACCTAGTCATATTTTTGCATAATTCTTGAACAAATACAGACAAGTTCTTAGATGCAGGGGTCACTAGAGAAAAGGGAAGTTTCCAGGAGCTGTCTTATTTCAGATCAAGACCAGAAAAGCCTTAATTTTCTTCTGCCGAGTAGTGGCTTGGTGGATTGCACTGTCATGCTGCATGAGTCCTGAATGTGCAGAGTTAACTTGGAAAGATGTGAGGCCCAGCAGGTCAGGCTTCCACCTTTCTTTTCCTCCGTGCAATTGAACTTCAAGTTGAAGTGAGTTTGTTTCTTCCTTCCTTCCTTCCTTCCTTCCTTCCTTCCTTCCTTCCTTCCTTCCTTCCTTCCTTCCTTCCTTCCTTCTCTTTCTTCTTCCTTTTTTCTTTTTTGAAGTTAATTATATTTTCTTTTATTGGGAATAGCATTTTTCTTCCTCAAGTGAGTCACTAGTTTTTGCTATCTTTCTGATATTTGAATGGTCTTCATTAAGGATTTTCCTTTAGATGTTTTTGCATTTCTTGTGGAGAGGTGTTAAGGTGTCAGCTTAACTAAATGCAACTGTATCTTATGGGTGTTTCTGTGTGCAAATGTTTCATGCACTCTGAGTTTCCAAGAAGCAAATGACTTTGGCTGTTCTGGCTTGGCAGGTTTTTCTTTCTAACCACCCTTGGGTTGAAGCTGGGAACCAAACACAGCTTGAAATCTTGTGGTTTGGATGCTGGGATTCTGGGCTAAACTGTCTAAAGCTTAGATGATTAATGTTGAGATATTTTCCCCCAATAAATAAACCTGAAAAATAATGAAATTTCACTCCTGGCAGCCTATAAAATTGTATATGGGTGTACACACACACACACACACACACACACACACACACCCACAGAGCTAGCAAGAAAGAAAATACAGTTATTATAATTTAATTCAAATTCAAAAAAGCCAAACAAACCCAGATATTTCTTAAAGTTACTTACATGATGTTGTGTTTCCCCAGGCTGTACTAAGGCCTGTGAGGGAAAAGGACACTTACTTAACTTTTTAGCTATTTAGGTTGATATTTTAGAAGAGGGAATAGTAAATTAATACTCTACATTTTCTTGATACCTGATACTTTACTGAATATTTTCATATATGTCATCTAAATTGCATTCCACTAAAATCACCAAGCATTTAGCAGTTTTAATTTCAATAAATCAGAGAATATAGCCAAGACCTGGCAATAAACAGTGCTTGTAGAAAGACAGCTAGTCCTCCATTTTCCCACCCATTCATACTCTAACATGCACATGTTTCTTCGGTTTCAAAATTAGCATGCAACTTTTACCGACTGGAGTTTCTCTTGTGACATGCAATGAAGAACTTGATCTGTGTTGACTTTGGTGATGATAAAAGACCTGTGAAGTTCCAGTGATCAAAACGGATTGTTTAGTTTTAATCAACCAAAGGGAGAATGATACACATTTAAAGTATATTCAAAAATATTTTTGGTTAAGTGTAGCACATGCCTTTAATCCCAGCACTCAGGAGATAGAAGGAGGTGGATTTTTGTGAGTGCAAGGTCAGCCTGGTCTACATAGTAAGTTCTAGGCTACCCAGGACTACAAAGTGAGACCCTGCTTAAAATTTTTGTTTTAAAGGGCACCTATTGAGGTGGTTAAGAGAAGAAGGTGCTTGCCATGCAAGCCAAAACTTGAGTTCAGTCCCCAGATACCATGGTGAAAGGAAGGAGAGAATCTACTGGTTAAATTTGCTGTTTGACCTTCACATGTGAGCTGTGTACAATATGTAAGAGTAGTAGTAATAATAATAGTAATAAAAATAATACACGTGGGCTGTTGTATAATAGGCATGAGTAATATTAATAATACTTGTAGGCTGTGTACAATATGCAAGAACACAAGATAGCATAGTAAATACAGTAAAATGGTAATTGTTGAGTGCAGGGGGTGGGTGTGTGGGCATCTCTTATAAAAATCTTTTGACCTTTCTATTGTATTTGTTCTTAGGTGACTGACAACACAAAAGTTGATTTTAGATGAACAAGAGTATTTCAAACGGTAGATTTTTTTTTTGCTAGATTTTATAAAAACTTTTTTTGAGTCTATTACTATACTATTTTCCATAACAAAATATTGGAGGTTGGGTACTTTTATATAGTAAAGAGATTCATTTGGCTCAGAATATGGTGGCTAGGAGATCTGAACTACATGGTATTAGCCTGTTGGTGAAACTTACCTGGCTGTGTCACAATATGGCAGAGAAGCAAGAAGGAAAATACTGTGTACAGATTGGGCCTATAAACTAACACGTTACATAAGAGGGACAATGATTCCTCCTGCCCTCCTGTCTGACCTAATTATCTTCCATCAACCCTCCCCTGTTAAAGTTTCCGCTACCTCAAACTGAGGACAAAGTTCCAAGAGCATGACGTGAGGCTTTGGGAGAGCACTCTGCTGCAAAACACAGAATCTCTGTGGTACTCTGTGATTAGAGGATGGCTGGTCATGGGAATCCATTGAAGCACAACTCAGAGCAAATACTGTGAAAGAGCTGTTGTAAAAAGATAAGCAGCTGGATGTGGTGGCACATTACTTTTCTCAGCACTCAGGTGGAGGCAGATAGATTTCTGTGAGTTCTAGGCCATCGTGGACTCCATAGCAAGTTTTGGGCCAGCCAGAGCTATGCAGTGAGACTCTCTTTCAAAAAAAAATAGAAAGGACAGATAAGTGTCATATCTATTAGCCCTCTTGAATGATAAGTAGCTGTGCCATGTACTGCCTAGAAAATTAAAAGACCCCACCAATAAATCAGTCTTCAGTAGTATTTTCACAAGCCATTTGTCAACACTAGTATATACCTTGAGTGGGTGCATCTTCTAGTCTTTCTTAATTATAACTTCACATCTGGTAACAAACAGCAGAAGATAATTGAGCATTTTCACATTGCTCCCAAGGATGTACATCCCAAGGATACTCCAATGAGGGGAAAGTTTGTTGCATACAGTGGGTGTCTTAGGGAAGCAGGGCTTAATTCTTTCCCAGAATCCAGGCTCATTGAATTGTTTTCAGCAGATCATAAAATAATTTTCTTTGGCTAGCTTACAGTGTATAACAACATTTAATATGCACTTTGTTTTTTAGATTACAGGTCCACCAGGTTGTGGAAAAACTCAGTTTTGTATGATGATGAGTGTTTTAGCTACATTGCCCACCAACATGGGAGGATTAGAAGGGACTGTTGTGTATGTTGACACAGAGTCTGCATTTACTGCTGAAAGGTAGGTTGCTTTATTTTTCCATTATAATGCTTTGCTTTTACAGCTGCTATATACCATGGGACATTTACAAATAGGTTAACATTTAATTTTTAAGAGCAAAGAGTGCTAGATACTGTTTTTAAAGTTTTTTTTTGAAATTGATACAGGAAGCAGATTATTTCTTCCTCTTCTATCCCTTTCTTATTGGCTTAAGTGGGGTTACTGTTTTTTAGAAGGCTTAGAAGAAACAAGGTGAAGAAACAGGGAGGGCGGTCATATAGAAAATGGGAAAAAGGGAAGACTAAAGAGAAAAAGGTAAGCTGCTTTATACGTTGTTTCTAGAAGGAAATAAAATGTTGGTGAATGGACAGTCACCCAGGTAGATTATGCATACAGAGATCAGTTCTTATCTTAGTCAAGATACACTGTAGGTACTGCTTTTGGAGTCTTTGTCATTACAGCACTATGAACAATTCACTGCTTTACTTCTCCCTACATAGTAGCAGATGGAAGTGGCTCTGATGAGATATGTTATTTAACATGGGTCGTTAGCCTGACAGGACCTGGGATTGCCTAGAAGACAAGCTTCCATGTGTACCTATGGGGGATTATGTAGGTTTGGTTAGCCTCTGGGTGGGCTTGCAAAGGATGGTCTTGATTAGGGAAAACCCACCTTAATGGAGTGTGGTACTCCTGTGTCCTGGACTTAATAAAAAGGAGAAAGCTACCTGTGGTGAATGTTTATCGTTCTCTGCTTCCTCACTGTAGTCAGAGTTTCTTGTCAGGACCATCAGCCCCAAATAATGACATGGAGACTTATTAATTATGAAAGCTTGGCCTTAGCTTAGGCTTGTTTCCAACTAGCTCTTATAACTTAACCCATTTTTATACTAATCTATGTTCTGTAATGTGGCTTTTTACCTCTGTACGTCTGACTTTCTTAATGTCTCCTGCTGTACCAGATCTAATCCTGAGTTTCTCCCTCTTCCTGGAAGTCCCGCCTATTCTCTCCTGCCTAGCTATTGGCCATTCAGCTTTTTATTAAACCAACCACAGTGACACATCTTCACACAGTGTAAACAAATCTCCCACAACACCTGACTGTGGGTGGGATGGGGCCAGCTGAGGACTTCTCTGCTGTGGTGGACTGTGCCCTGAACTGTGCCCCCCCAAAACCCCTTCTCCTTGAGTTGCTTTTGTCAGGTATCAGCGACAGGAACGATAACTGACACACAAGGAAATTTCACAGTATGGGTTTGTGTAGCCTTTTGGGCCCTATAAGTTTTCTGAGATTCCTCTTCTTCTTCCCTTTAAGAGGGAGAAAGTAACAAGTAGCAGTGTTGCAATAGGAGGCACTCTCGTGTATATCTGTATTGTGAAGATGTTTGGTTTCATTTCTTTTCTTTGCATATGTCCTTAAGTATATTTTGGATTTTTAATATTTACTTATTTCTCTATCTTTTTCTGCCTTTGTTATAATTATTGTAATAATAATAGTGTTATTTATATCAGAGGCAGAGTAGAAAACAGGTATAACTTTAGACCCTTTATATTTATGTTAATTCATGTCACATAATTCACAAGAAGCTCATGTGAGAATAGAGGTGGAAACATACTGTTTAGTTTTTTCATATAGCTTCTTAAGTGGGGTGAGGTTGCTCCACTTAGTATATGTTTTGAGATCTTGCGAGGATAAGGGGATCAGAGCTGCAGTGTCTATGGCATAGCCGCCTTCTGGAGTATGTTGTGGTGGATCATGCCTGGAGCCTGCTCTTTAGTGTTGTCTTATGTGTTATTTGTACTGTTGCAAGGCAGTTCAACCCTGGAGAGGTTGGTCAGTGAGTTGTGTAAGCTTTCTGCTGCAAGTAAACTGAACACTCAAAGAATTGTGGCTTGAACAAAATGGGTTCATCTTTCTTGCATGTAAAGATCTGGGTCAGCTGTTCAGTGATGACAGGGACCTAAGGCTGGTTTATTTTAGGCATCTGTATCCATTCTGTGCTTAAGTTACTTGGAAGAGAGAGGGCTGGCCACACCTTTCATCAGTAAAATAATCCTTTCAAAATTTTTGTCTATCCTATCTATCTATCTATCTATCTATCTATCTATCTATCTATCTATCTATCTATCATCTATCTATCTATCGTCTGTCTGTCTGTCTATCATCCATCTATCTTTGAGGCAGTGTCTCCACATAGCCCTGGATATCCTGGAACTCACTATGTAGTTCAGACTTGCCTTGAACTTGCCTGCCTTTGCCTTCTGAGAGCTGGAATTAAAGAGGAGCACCAGCATGCCTCTCCCCGCCCCCATTTAAAGGACCTGCTTTTCTCATCTTATTTGCTGTTGTTTTCTTAGACAGATTTCTCACTAGACCACTTCTCTGTGGGAATATGGAAAAATGAGGGCAAAGGTTATCTAGCAATCATGATGATTGTGAGGACCTGTTTATACTGATGCTTCATTGAAAGAGAGACTCATAGCATGAGGAACTGGAAGTGGGTTGGGCCAGTAAGTTGCTGTGTTTGACCATAGCTTAGATTGTTTCTAGATTTAGAGAAGAGATAGATCTGGGAATAGATTCAAAAGGAATTTGAGAGAGTGCAGAGATGCTGAGTTGTAGAAACCCTCCTTGGATAATTTAGGAAAATGCCTGTTTTAATTTGTTTTGCTTATTAGACATCTACTTAAAACACAGCAGTCTTAGATGCCATAGTTTTATGTACACCTTGACAGTAATGGGTAAATAAATAATTCACTGACCCAGATCTGTATTCCAGCCTATGGAAATATGGCAAGTATGATAATTTCTGTACATATGAATGGAATAAGCCTTATGCTATGTTTATTGATGACAAGTAGGAAAAGAAGGAATTGGTAGCAGCAGTGGGAGACACAGCTGACTTTAGCCTGAAGAGTTCTTTTTGAGGGACCTTTACTGGCTCTGAAGGGATCTTGACTTAAGCTGCAGAAAGAATTTCTCCATGAGTCAGCATGTAGCAGTGTTGGAATTCCTTAGGGCAAGGAGATAATGCATTCTTTAGACTTGAGAGGGCAGGGAGAAACCCCTAAGTGTCTTAACAATAGCTGTTTGTATGATTTGTGGCTTGTGGAGTTACATTGCTCAAAGTATGTCATTTATAACCAGGGCCAAAGATGAACTCAGTTTAAAAACTAAGTCAAAGGAAAGAGCTGTTTGCTTATTTCTCTTATCTTAAGGAATTCATTTTAAATGTGAAATAGTGAGGTGGTTGATAGTACATTATTCAGGTTTATGTCTGGGGAGGGTTGATGAGGTTAAACCCAAAAGTCACATACGCTTTGCCTTAAGTATGGTTCATTAGTAGTTTGAACATTTTTGTTTTAGATGTATCTCAGTAACAATATTATCTTTGTAGGCATTCTTTATAGCTGTTTTATAGTTTTTTTTTAGTTCTTGATTCTGTCAAGAGTATATTCATGCAGTTGCATGTATATGTATATGAGTACCTGTACTAGTTTGTGTGTGTGTGTGTGTGTGTGTGTGTGTGTGAGTTTATGTGCATGTGGACCCCAGAGGACAAACAACCTTGGTTGCCATTCCTTGGGTGCTATCTACCTCCTTTAAAAAATTACATTTATGGGTGTTTGCCTAAATGCGTGTCTATCACTTGTGTGCTTGGTGCCTTATAAGGTCAGAAGAGGGTACTGGATCCCTTGGAACTAGAGTTACAGATGGTTGTGAACTTCCATGGGGGTGCTGGAATGGAACTTGGGTCCCGTGGAAGAACAGTAAATGTTCTTAATCACTGTACCATCCCCATTTTTTTTTGTTGTTGTTGTTGAGATTAGGTCTCTCACTGGTCTAGGTTGACTCTTTGGGAAGCTCCAGGGATCTGCCTGTCCCTGCCTCCCCAACTCTGAGATGATAAGCCTGTGCTTTCACTCCTGGCTTTTTTACATGAGTTAGGAGGGTCAAACCCAGGACCTCATGCTTGCAATGCAAACATTTACCAATTGAGTTGCCACCCCAGCTCTTCTTTTTGTTTTTGACACAGTCTTGTTGTATAGCTCAGGTTGTCTCCTTCTCTCTTTATAGTGCTGGGATTAAAGCCTTGAGGTGCCCCAGCTCTTAGTCTTTTGTAGCTCTTTTTAGTTTTGCTGTTATAGTGCAAAAGCAGCTGTTATAGGAAGTGAACAAATAGGTGTTCAAATAAGACTTTATTAACAAAAGCAGATTATTTTCTGGTTTGGGTCTACAGTACATAGTGTTTGACAACCTCTATCTATTTAAATTTATAAGATTACAAATAGCTGTTTCTGAGGGTTTTAATAATGCAATCATCTGTATAATTTGTGGTATTTTGTTAGTGATTCACAAGTTTAGTAATTAAACATTTAAAAAGTTTCTATGCTCGAGTGCTCACCTACATGTGTGTATCTGTACGACAGTCCATGGTGCCCACAGAGGCCTGAAGAGAGTGTTGGAAGTTACAGAAGGCTGTGATCTTTCATGTGGGGGCTGGGTTGAAACTGAGTCCTTTGGTTTCAACTCTAGAGAAGACTTAAAAAAAAAGAGATTTATTATTTTGTATTTTATTTGTGTGAATGTGAGCCAGAATGTGGGGACTGGGCTGAAACAGAGTCCTTTGGAAGAGCAGTCAGAGCTCTTAACTGCTGAGCCATCTCTCCAGCCCTTTTCTAAGTAATTTATGAATCGGTTGTTAGACATTGTTATGTTAGATGCTGAAACTACATATGCAGCTTTAAAGCATTAGCTTTTTGTTTTAGAATATAGTAAGATTATTTTGCTCATGTTAAAGCTGGCCCTTCACATTTGTTACAGCGGTTCTCATGTGGTCTTTGAGACTGAGTAAGCCTCTGTACTGTGAAGCCTTCTGAGGACTCCATAGGTTGCCTAGGGTATAATGAGATCTCTGCACTCCTTGTTGACGTGGGAACTTGCACAGTTCTCATTCTGTGTGAGTTCTGGGAAGTGTTTAGTCTCTATGTTGTCTCCTGGTCCCTCCTGAGTAGTTTCC